ACCTATACACTTGTCTTCTGTAGTGAACAAGGTTTTTGAACACTGCCTCACTCGAATATACACCGAAAGAATTAGAAAATTTAGCTTCTCACAGAAATGTACGCTGCCCTTCCTCTAAAATACTATTCGTTAAATCTTAGGAGTATTTTCTCGAGAATTGGTTTGAAAAGCTTGCATAATTTGAAAATCTTGAATTGGTTTGAAAAGTGACTTTAGCATAAATTGTTTCCATTGTTTGAATTCCAATAAGTCGCCGAAAAAACTGAACAACAAGCAAAAAAAAATGACTCTATAGTTTTGGCTCGCTGGCATGTCTACAAAAACTAAGTTCATACCCCAAATTTATTTTAGATATTAAGAGAAGCTTGAGTTTTTTTGAAACGTCTGATCGGTGGACCAAAATTTGTAGAAAAAATCTTGGTTTGAGAAACAGTATTCAAATTTTTCTGCGGTTTACTTTAGCTTCTCACAGAAATGTACGCTGTCCTTCCTCTACAAAACTATCTATTAAATCTTAGGAGTGTTTTCTCGAGAATTGGTTTGAAAAGCTTGCATAATTTGAAAAGCTTGAATTTGTTTGAAAAGTGACTTTAGCATAAATTGTTTCCATTGTTTGAATTGCAATAAGTCGCCGAAAAAACTGAACAACAAGCAAAAAAAAATGACTCTATAGTTTTGGCTCGCTGGCTTGTCTACAAAAACCAAGTTCATACCCCAAATTTATTTTAGATATTAAGGAAAGCTTGAGTTTTTGTGAAACGTCTGATTGGTGGACCAAAATTTGTAAAAAAAATATCTTGGTTTGAGAAACAGTATTCAAATTTTTCTGCGGTTTACTTTAGCTTCTCACAGAAATGTACGCTGCTCTTACTCTACAAAACTATCTATTAAATCTTATTTTTTCAGATTTTCAAAAAGAATCAAAATTTTTCTCCCGCTTTGCCATTTTTTAATTTCAAGTGTAGGTGAAACACTAGTGGTTTCCAAGTTGGTTGAAGTTACATCTGGAAAATTGGTGAGAACTTGCTAAGAATGCTACTCAAACTGTCCTTCATCATATATTGTGGATAACATTGTTGGGACACTTTCACAGGCCAGCGTTAACTTTATCAGAAAAAATAGGTACATAAGAACTAAAAGTATGTTAGTGAAAAAAACTGTTACATGTAGGTCCAAAAAGTTTTCCTGATTTTCGTTCATATTTTTCTTCGTAAAAAACAAAGTTTCACGAATTTAATTACTTATCGCCCACTTTTATCGCCTAACTTAACTTGAGCAGAGAAAAGCTGATTATGATTATCTTTTCAAAAAAGATAATACTTTAAGATTAACATGACGTTTCATAAACCTTTTGCAAAAAACTCTTGCTTCCGGAGCTCAATTATTTAAATATTTGAGCGATAATTTGAAAAATGTATACGTCTTACTTTAGTTAACGTCCAATCAAACTGAGAAATTATTGATTCTGTATCGAAATCTTGCAGTTTTGAGGTTTCGAAACTGTTAAGGAAACTGCCACTTCTCCCGTCTTGAACATTTCCGAGTGTCTTTTGCGAAGACACGTCAAGGTCAGCGCCTGCAACTGTGTTAAAACTACCATTCGATCCTCGTATGTTTTTTGTCACGCTGGTGGCCGAAATCTTTTATATCTTTCAAAATTTTTGTCTCCAACGTCTCAAGAAAACAATCTAAGTTTCCATCTGTTTTTGTAAAAGCTGCTGCAAACTCAGCATCGATCAATCGAATAAGGTAGCCGGGATTCAGCTGAAGCCTGTCTAAAAGCATTAGTGCCATACACAATTAATGACGGTTTTTCTCGGGCTTCGTGCTTCTGGTTGTTTTCCGAACGAGGATATTTGCTTAAGCTTTCCTTCATTACTCTGCGCTTAGTTCTTTCACAGTGTGTACTGTGTTTCGTACGCGCGTGTTTTTTAAAACAAACTTTGATCGTATGACACTTCCGAAACGTGTCGATCAGTTTTCGCTGCGCATTTGTTTTTGGTGACATAATCCGCGTTCCGATTTTAGTCTGAATATTACGTAATTTTGGTTGTCCTTTTTGCCAATGCTCTCATGAACCGAAGGATTGAGTAGCCTACTCACTGCATTTTTTCTCGCAACCACAAACATATTATCTAACAATGACACTTTCGGGGCCGTTCCCACTGGGTGCGTAAATAAATAGTCTACCAAAAACATATTCTTCCACGGGATATGTTCTATTTTGCAATTGAACGGTGACAATCAATCTGCCCACTGTACTAAGCTAACCGCCTTTGTGTTATTTTTGGATTCTTTTCTTCCAACAAACGATTCTTCTTTTGTGTGAAAGTCGCTCACTGCCACAAAGAAGTGTTCCATGACCCCGGTTTCTTGTTAATTTCTCCCAAATAGTACAATTTTTGGTTAGTAACATTTTTGGCCCAATGCAAGTTTCCACAGGTCCACAAATTCATTCCCACTGTTTTCTTGCAAAGGTGCTTTTTAAAAAAAAACACATTTAACCCTGTTTTCCTGCCAATAAAAACATCTTCGACTTGAGTCTCTTGTCTGCCTCGTCCCGTGTGCTTTCCTTAAAGTAGCTTTTCTCCGTCAGTCCGACGTGTTTTTTCGTCTCTCTAGGTTCTTATTACTGCGTTCTTTCGACCTTCCCTTTCGTTCTGCGCTGTTGCGTCCTCAGTTCTAAGTGGCTCTTCTAAGGTCGGGTATAGGTTTTCTAGTTGCGCAACTTCTTCCAATAGCTCTTCAATGTCTTTTTCTTCTTTCGCTATCACGACTTATTGGAACTTCTGTGCCCAATCTTCCCAGGGTATCGGTGGTTTTTGTGAGGGATCACGCCAAAAATCAAATAGACCGCGGTGGTTCGATTTCGTTTGTGACTGCGCCATAGGGAAGTTTTCTCGTTGTGGTTAGGACAACGTACGTTAGAATCTAAAGACGTAAGAGAATATACTTTAATTCACATAAATACCGGCGATACGTAATAACAAAGCTGACTTTAACGTTGACCTTGGTAATGCTAATGAGCTATGTAATACACAATAACGTTATATTTATATAGATATATGTTTAACAAAAGTCTCCTCTACGCACACTCGGATACAATGCTTTTCCCCATTTTTCAATTGGTCGGAACAACAATTCAGCTCTTTGGAAAACTCCAATTTTAGCCTTCCTGAAGACTTTCATCATTTTTTTTCTATTCATTCTTCATCATTCTTTTATTCACTTTTTATCAGTATTCATCACTTTCATAGGGTTTATTTGTTTTGTTTATTCCATTTTTTTTTAAAATTATTTTGGTTCTTAAAATTAAATTAAAATTCTTTCTCGGCCTTCTAACCATTCGCTTTGTTCATTTTTATTCATAGATGCTCTTGCCCACCCACAAACTTTGATGAAAAACCCTAGGATTCAGGTGCTTTGTTCATTCTTGTCTCGCAGAAAAATATCAGATGCGAAGAAACGCTGCTTGAATTTTTTTTCTTTTTTTTTCAGTTGAGACTTTAAGTTGAATGTTCTAGGCTAAAAACTGTTTAATGTTCCAGCCAAATTTATTTTCGAATCCAATTTTTTTTGACAAGCCTTGATAATTTGTAGGGGGGTTGTAAAGTTGGGCATTCGAATGTGAGGGGGGAGGGGGGGTGGGGTTGGGTTAAAACTGGGGCACTCGATAGTGTAAAGGGCATCTATTGCTTCGTTGACCTTTATTTTTTTAGAAAGCCAAATAAAGACCTATAAACTATAGCTACAAAGCTTCTGTTTACTTAAATAAAGATAATGATATCCTATCCGCAAAATAAATGAAGCCTCGCTTTCCCATTTCCCCCGAAGTTCTTATTAAATTTTCATGCCATTTTTGCTGTCTGAGCTCAATCCAAATTGAATTGGCTGAAAAAGCTATTCGTTACAGATAAAAAAGGCGACAATTCGTCTCAAAGCAATTGACCAAAATAAATTGAAAAATAATTGGAAATGAATGAAGATAGCTGCCCAAATATCAAATGTCCATGCCTGAAACGGGCTGCTAATCTACTTACTTTTTTGCCAACCAATCTAAGCTTTTCTTTTTACCTTTTCTTTTCTGAAACAACGAAAAAAAGTAATCAACAAAATACTGTCTCATTCTCTGATGTTTCTATTTTTCACCTTTTCAACTTTCATTCTAGTTTTGGGAAACCTTTATTGAAGTTCTTTTTTGCAGCATTTTTTTTTGCCGTTACTTCCCTGTAACTTCAAACTATTGACTCCATTTTTAAAGCCTAGCTCTGAATTGTTTTAATAATTGGTCTTACAAGCAAAACTTCAAAGCTCAAACAATTTTCAAACATAGATTTCAAACGTTTCTTTATAAATTGAAAATATATATTTTTTATGTAGACGTCGCCGCAGAGTTTTTTAAAGTTATTTTAAAAGAATTTTCAGCTAGTATTAGTTTATTTTCCCTTCCGACGCAATGGCTGAATTTGCTCCCAGTAGCACTCGTACTGCATTGAATATCCGGGGTACCAATTTGATGAACGACCCTTGCTTTACAATACAACCTTCTGTTGAGGTAATCATTAGCTACTTTCCCCAGTGGGTTATTTCAGCTCTGGGCCTCTTCGGAAACTTTTTAGTCTTCTTAATTTACGCCAAGAAACATCCGAAGAACCCCGGCGAGATCCCGATTCTCTTGCTCGCATTTGTCGATCTTCTAATGTGCGTTTTTTCAATAGTGTTCACCGCTTTTATCGCCGTGTTGCAGCCGAACACTCGCGAGGTGGGCTGCACGCTACCGCTATGCATCGCCGGCAACATCGCATTCGACGTCCCCTACACGTTTTCCTGTGGAATGATGTGCGTTATGACCTTGAACCGATTCCTAGCCGTTTGCCGACCTCATTCGTACCATTACCAATTTAGTTTCCGGAGACAAATAGTTATCTACTTTTTTCTGTTAATTATTTCGATCTGCTCATGCTGTTGGACAGTAATGAGTTGTCTGACAGCCCCTCAAAATGAGGTTCCGAAGCTGGTCTGGGTGATCCAGAGAGGCGTTTTCCTTCTCTGCACTCTTATCTCTATGATGTTCGGATATTCCAAGGTCATTCTAGCAATGATTGAATCCAGAAAACGAAAAAAGGTATAAAAAACTACATGTTCGAAAAAAATCGGGCGATCAAATTTTGAGGAGTTTTAGGTCTAGATTGAGAATTTCTGGCTCTCTGAAGTTTCAAAATAAACCTGAGAGTTGAACAAAACCACGAGATATTTTGTATTGTTTTTATAATTTTTGTGGAATAATTTTTCTCTTGAGTTTTATTGTCAAATAAAACTGTTTTTTGAAACTTTTATCGCCGAATAAAATTTTACTTGGCTTTTTTCCAGTTCTCTTGATTTTTACAGAAATGCTATTTCTTATAATGTGTAAAATTTCTTAAATTTCTGAACCCCCCCCCCCCTCCCACCCGTTTTCTATTTCAAATAAGGGTAGGGAAATAATGTCATTTTACGAGCGTGTGAAAAGAGCATAAGCTTTTGTATTTGAGTTTAATTATACCCTAAGTTTGTTTCCTTTAGGAACAACGAGTGGTATCCCTGGTACCAATGAACAAAAGCGTCGAAACCCAAGATCAAAAGAAGATGCGGAACAGTTACGAAAACAATACCACCGAGAACTCTAAGAACAACCACACAATTAACACCACCAGCAGTGCAAACAATAACATCACCGCTGAAGTTGAGAACCAACGGGAACCTTCAGATACGAGCGGTGCAATAATAACTGCTCGTAATGTGCTTGACGATTGTGCAGATGAAGACAATGAGCGTGCACTAATGCTAGGAGCGGGAACAGCAGCGGAAATGCCAAAAATGGGCGAGGAACTCTCAGTTGTCCCTGTTTTGGTCCCATCAAATAACTTGGAACAAAATCATTCGGCGGAAACAATAAACGCAGAAACTGGAGACTGGTGTGAAAATCAAAATACCATATTTGGTCAATCAGTGATTGAAGAAAATGAACAATGTATGAACGAAGACTTTCTCAATGTCGTGGCCAATCACGAAATTGTTTATCTTTCCAGAAATGACGTCACTGGAATCGAGCGTGAAGGCAGCCAATCGCAAACTCCTGCTGAGAACAAGAAAAAATGCAAGGGAATAGGAGGCTGTTTTTCAATGATTCAGTCTCTTTTAACCAGGTATGAAATTTTCCCGGGTTGACCTCCATACACCGAAAATGCTTATCATACAATTCCATACATCAAGTGTGTGGAAAAATGCTTGTCATACAATTTTCATACAATTTCTAAAAATGGTTGAAAACTGGTATAAACTTATTTCTGTGGCTGTTTGATTCTAATAAAACAGTCTGGTGATAAAAAACTGAGGTTTTCGTTTTTTGAAAAAAATGCTTATCATACAATTCCCATATATGGAAATTGTATGACTGGCATTTTTTTGATGGCGACACAAAAAATTTTTCAAGTAATTTTGAAAATTTGGCCCAAAAACTTTTTGTTTTTTTTTCAACCGCAAATCGAATTTCGTACGCAAACAAACATTTTTCGAAAAAAAATTTTTTGCATGCAAAAATTAATATTCCTATTTCTGTTGTATGGGGTGTTAATGTATGCCTTGATCAATGTCTGATAATTTGAAAATTCAAAAATTTAAAGTAATCACCATTAAAAAAAATTGCCAAAAACTAAAAGTTTGTTGCTTTTGTTATATCAATTGTGAAAAACAGCCCAACTCGTTTTCTATGCATTATAAATGCAAAGACCGTCCAACCTTTGGTGCTTTGAGTAACCAAGGTCTTTGTCAGTTGTGTTCGGCTGCAAGCACAACGTAAAATTTTTCAGAAATAAATTTAGAAAGAAAAAACTAAACTTTTTGCTTTATGGAAAAACATCTATCATACAATTTTCATTTATGGAAAAATGTTTATCATAGATATTTCATACAATGTTCTGTCTGTACGTATGGCATTGTATGGAATTGTATGACAAGAAGTTTCTCATATATGGGAATTGTATGATAAGGAGTTTCGTTCATCCCGGGTTTCCAGGCACCTTTCTGTCAGAACCCTGCATTCAATAGTTGCTGACTCGCATTGGCAAATATAAGTCTGCAATCGATTATCGCGAGTAAAATTTTCAGTTACGAAACAAATAACTTTTTAAATCACCAATAATGAATTTAATTAACTATCAAATGGACTTGATTTTATAATTAAGTTAATGATTCGATAGCTACCAAAATCTATTTTTATGTATAATTTGGTACATGCAACCAAGTTTACCTGAGTTGTCGAAAAACGCTAGTCACCCAATTTCACTCTTGTGAAACTAGCTTTTTCACGTCCAAAAAATTGTCTAATAACTCTACGTTAAACACAAATGATTTCAATTTTGCATGCAAAATATTTAATTTCGAAATGTGTTTGTTTGGCCCCAGAAAATTTTTGGCGACTAAAAAAGAACTTGAATTCCTTTTGCCCGACTTTGGAAATTTTGAAAAAAACTTTGTCACGCAACTTTCATAGTATGAAATTATATGATTCATCAATTTTCATCATTTTTTGGACATCAGTTTTAAACAGCCTCAGATTTGGTGTAAAATTTTTTTGTTGTTGTAGAAGAAAACGGTATGATTGAAAAAAAATAGTCATATAATTTTTATAGGATGAAGTTAAATGAACAGCGTTAAATTTTTGCAGCTTTTTTTCGATTTATGAACTTGTTCGCCTAATTTTTTATAAGTTTATATATAAGTTTTACCTATTACTAACAAGTACAAATTTATATTATGTATAATCATTATAACAAGTAGATAAAGAGTGCATATAAGCTGTCGGTTTGCGGGTTCAGCTCCACGCAAGTAAAAAGTTAGTAATAAACAATATTATGTTGCCCATAAAATGTTTACAGAAACGTTATGAAATCCCCTAGAATCTGCAATAACTCAAGTATATGTTTTAAAAAAAGGATTAAATTGTCTAAAAAAGATTATTGTTTGCTTCAAAAAACATCTTTTTTAAAACCTATAACAAAAAATCTAAGCTTTCAAACTTTAATTTCAAGATGCGTTTTGCTTACAAATCTTTTTTTTTAAATGTGTCTCATTTTTTGTGAGCTAAAATCACTTAAGAAGAGATGCTTGCCGGTGATAAAAATTATAATTGTGCAAAACTATCATAATTTTGTTGAGACATAAGTAAAAACTATGTAAAAACTAATTTTTTGAAATTTGTTTTAAAAAATTGACAAAAATTTGAAAAAAAAAATAAATTTCGAACAAAAAGATTTGCTGCAAGATTTTTGAAATTGGCTGATTTCAATAGTTTGTCTTCACGTCAAACATCAGCACTAAAAACAAAAAGCGTAAATTAAAAGTTTTTTCCCCTATACTTATTTAAATTGGTACGAAAGATGAAAATTTCAGTAAACAAAATAAAAAAACATAATTACAAAGATATTGATATACAGTATGCTTAAAATCTGCATAAAAAATCTGAAAATCATCTGTATATATTCTGTGTATACTCTGCAATTAGTCTGCATACAGTTTATCTACAGACTAATTACAGATTATATACAGAAAATATACAGTTAATTTTTTTTTCATAACAGATTTTAAGCATATTGTATATAAATATATTTGTAATTATGTTTTTATATAGTGTTCACAAAATGTTTACTGAAATTCTAATCTTTCTAACAAGTTAAACGAGTATAGGGGAAACAGCTTTGATATACGCTTTTCATATTAGTGCTGATGTTTGACTTGAAAATAAACTTTTGAAATCAGCCGATTTCAAAAAAGTTGCAGCAAATCTGTTTGTTCAAAAATTTTTTTTTGTTTTTGTCAAAGTTTTTAAATAAATTTCCGCTGAAAGTTAATCTTAGAGTTGGTTTTTAATTAGTTTTCACTCATGTCTCAAAAAAATTATGATTATTTTTCACAAACATTCTTTTTCTCACCGGCAAGCAGCTCTTCTCGAGTGATTTTAGCTCATAAAAATTGAGACACATTTTTTAGATAAGATTTGTAATCAAAACGCATTATTAAATTGAAGTTTGAAAGCTTAGATTTTTGTTTTAGTTTTAAAAAAACATTTATTTTCAAAGCAAACAATCAACTTTTTAGACAATGTAATTCATTTTTTAAAACATATAATTGAGCAAATGCAGACTCTAGGGGATTTCATAACGTTTCTTTAGAAATTTTACACAGCAAAAACCCATTGTTTGTCTTCTTATTTCATTTTTCAGACAATGTAATCAGGCATGTTTTCAGGCATAAAATTTTTAGGCATAATCAGGTTGTTTTCAGACATTTGTTACAATTTTCGAAGCAAGACACGAAGTATTTGTGCTCTGTTTTAGTGTTTTGTTTTACACAATTTTCAGTCTTTGAGGTATTAAAGCCATGAGCCAAAACTGATTAAGTAAGCATGCCACTAAAGTATTTCTTTGTAAAATTAAGGTGGTTTGCCAATTTGATTTTTTATAATAAAACAAGCGCTCAATATATTTTCTGCTGCAAATACGTAAGCGGCTATTTAATCCGGCTGAGATCAATTTTTCATTCGTTTTTCTGACAAATTTTTGAGCCACGAACTATTTCAGAACGGTTCAAGGTCTGTCGGATCAAGCAGTGCTTCACCCTGATCTTGTTTCAAGTTTTATTTACTGTTTGAGGTTTTTAGTATTTGTCGAATTGTATTGGATCTTATGGCTGATTTTTAACTTTATATTTTTTTGCAATGACTTTGATTTTTGGTAGAAAATAAAGAATACTTGTTCTCAGTGGTTTTTTTTTAGTTAGACAAGTTTTGATTAACCATTTTTATAAACATTCAAAATGTTTGCCGTTCTAGGCTCCAAAAAAGTCTGACTAGTAAATACTTTTCGTTAAATTAAGAAGGTTTGAAAATAGCCCTTTTGTCTAACTGGAGCCAAATAACGAAACCATCAGAATACTTTGGGTTATAGGCTCGTAAGCAGCAATTTGATCACTTTTCAGGAACCGATACAAATTGGTTTGAAGCTAGCTTTCGAGATTTTTAATAGATTGTTAGGTACTGATGGCATCCTTTTGCACTTTACATATTGTGGGAGCATCATGAACTGATATTAAAATCAAATAACTTCTCGAATGAAAACCTAGGCAAACTTTTTTATTCAAAATTTTGTAGCAGAAACTTTTCTCAAGTGACGTTTATCATAAAGTTTTGGCTCGTGGAAAAAAGTTTTAGACAGAAAGCTTTTGGGACGAGTTATAAAGCAGCCGGGATATTCAGGGCTTCGCCTTGATACGATCTGTCTTGTTCTGTCTTAGAAATTTTTCATTTTGGTTTTAAAAATCAAATGTTAATCTACGCCTGTGAAAAAAAAACTTAACTTTCATTCATTATTTTAATTTTAAAAGTTTACTTCGGATGCTCACAAGTTTCAGTTATCAAGCTTTTTTTCTCTGAGTTGATTGACATTTCCTTTGGTTTCATAAGATCAGTTCTGCAATTTCATCAGCCTAAGATTAACTAAGAATTGAACACTTTCTTTCAAGGGATGAAGGTGAATTTCGGAAGAAAAAAAATTAAAGTAGGTCGGCTTTTTTCTTGAGGTTGACCAAATTGATTTTGTAAAATCTTCCAAAGCATAAAATCTTGCATAGAAGTTGATCATTTAAGTTAAAAACGCTTAAATTGTCGTTTTTGGATTTTTGTGGAAAGTTATGTTTTTTTTTGCCACGCGTCCTTTCATTTTGGCACGTTTGGGAACCCAAACTTGGATGCTGTGAAATAGTACCAACACTGGCGTGCGCAGAAATTTTTCTAGGGGGTGCAGTTTTTCGAAAAATTTTGAAAATAATTTTGCCGAAAATTTGTTTTTTTTTCAGGTTGAGCAATGTGATTTTCCGAGCTTTGAGGAAAAAAAATTGTGCACCGCAGGCAAATTTTCTAAAAAAAACAGGCCTAAAAGGCGTTTTTAGGCACTTTTTGGAAAGTTTTTCCCAAAAAATTGCGTTTTTTTCGGCATATCAAAGTTGCACGTTATATCAAAGTTGCACGGCATATCAAAGTTGCAAAAAATATTTAAATTGAAGTTAAAAAATCGCTAAGGAATCAGGTGAAAAGAGTCAACTCTAATTTGTCTGCAGTTTCTTCTAATCCGGACCATAAATATTGAAATCT